ACAATAATCAATTTTCATCATCTGTATCTAATGGTCAAAGATTAGCAAAATTAGCTCATGGAATTGGAATGTTCTTAACTTGGTGGTAAGATATTGATATTAATATACATTAAATATCTTTGCATTTTGAAAAAATTATTAATTATCGTTTCCATTCCATTATAGTGTTCTATTTCCTGCTTCTATTTTTATTGTAAGATATTACAAGCATACCAATAGTTACATCAAAATACATCGATTTGCACAATTGCTTGGTGGTATTAGTATTGGTAGCTTTGGTGCAGCAGCTATGGCAACAATTAGTATGAAAACAAGTCATTCATGGCTAGGATTGACAATATATTTTTTATTATTTATTGAACTTGGATTAGGTCTAATATCAATGTGGGGTCAAGTGGCAATAGTGTCAGTTAATCAGGGATATCCTAGATTTCTTAAAAGAATTCACAGAATTTTTGGAATTTCCTTATTAATATGTGCATGGGTAAATGTATATTTGGGAATTGATACATATAGTTTATCTTATGGATTTGAATCACTTTATTACAAGGTTGCATATCTTATATGGATTAGTGCAATGGTAGTAGCATATATATTTGGTGAATATTGGTGGAATTGGAAAGGGACTTGGAAATGGAAATATACCTTGTTGAATTCTAAAAAAGGAAATGAAGAAGGAAATAAAAAAAACTCCATTCTTTCATCATATATTACTGAAGAAGATTTAGCTAAAATGCCAGAATTTACATGGAGTGAAATTAATGAGCGTGTTCAACGTGGAGCATATTTAATAGTTTGTGATGGATTTATTGTTAATATGAGAAAATGGATTAAGGTACATCCTGGTGGAGCAAAAATTCTTGAACGTGTCATTGGAACAGACATAACAAATGATTTTTTTGGTTATAAAGGTAAAGGGATTATTGAGCAGATTAATAATGTTCCAGAAATAAAGTCTGTTCCAACTGGTATGTCAACATCAGTTTTAGGGCAGTATAAAGATATTTTACATGAGAGAACCAAAAAATACACAACTGAAAAAAATTCAGTTGCACAAGTTGTTGATGTTATGAATGTTAAATATTTTTTAAAGGCACCTTTGGCTATACATCCACATAGTTTGTTTGCAATTAAGAAAATAGCAACAATGATTGTGGCAAAATTAAAAGAAACCCCAGATGTTGTTCTTGGATCACAAATGTCACCTGCACCAATATTTGGACCAACAAATGTAGCTGATGGAAGATTAAGTGATTCAGAAATTGCTAAACAAGATACAGCATTTAGAGTAAAGTTCCGTAGATACAAATTAACAAGCAAAGCACCTATCAATGGCAGTAAAAAGTACCCAGTGATGAAATTCACATTCACAATAGTACATGAAAATGAAATTGAAGCTTATAATCATAAATTGAAATTCTTGCCTGGACATTATATTGAAGTGCAATCAAGAATTAAAGGACAAGTAGTAATTAGAAGTTATACACCAATAGAAGGCAATATTGCTCAGAGTTTTAGTATCTTTGTTAAAGTGTATCCAGATGGATTAATGTCACGACATTTGGTAAAGTTTAAAATAATTAATAATTATATAATGCTATATTTATTATTATTTAAACCCATTAGTCATTTATTGATTTTAATTAATTAATAACCAATCATGCTTTAGAATGAACAATTAAAAGGATATGAGATTCAAGTGAGAGGACCATTTGATGTTGGAGATAGAGAAGTTTTGCAAACACAAACATTATCCCAGTCTGTTGATGCAGCATCACAATATAGAAAATCAAGTATATATAGCTTATCCACCCCATCATTTATATCTTCATCAACAAGTTCCTTACTTAATCCTAATACTCAGGATGGTCACTGGAAAGAATTATACATGATTTGTGGTGGTAGTGGAATTACACCAATGTTACAAGTAAGATTTTTATTGTAAAATAATAATATATTTATATTCATTGTTTTTGTTATTTATTTATCATTATCATTATTATTGTAATGAAATAGCTGATAGTATATCATTTGGAATTGTGTATGAGGCGCAGTCGTGCATCAACAACACGTAATAAACGAGTGTCAATGCATTTGTTATATGGTAATTATAGAGTAGAGGATATAATTAATGGTGTAGAATTAGAAGAGTATCGGTTAAGTAGTAGGGGTATGTTAGACATAACATATTCATTAAATAAACCACCCCCAGAATGGTCAGGGAAAATTGGTGAAATTAATCAAGAAATTATTTCAGATTGGTTAGGTGAACTGGTCGTAAATGATAGTAAAAACAAAATTACTGCTGATGATACTAATATACCAGATTCCCTTAGTCCACAACCATTTAAAAAACAACATTCATCATATGGTGGTGGTTCATTAAGTAATATGTCAAACATGATACAATTTAATAGTTATAACAATACAACAAACACATCATATTTACCAATTAATACAAGTCAATCACAACTTAATAATAGCGATGATAATATTAATACAAATACAACAAATTTGCCAATTAGTACAAGTCCACCACAATTTTATAATCCTTTATTATATGATAATAATAATGATAATCGACCACCAATAATACCACGTCATACAAAACCTCCACCACCAAATATAATGGTTAGTAATAATCAGAACACTTATAGAACATCAATTAATCCGGAAAGTGCTTTAAGTTATAATTATGCTCAACATTATAGAACGCCACCACCATTATCGTCACCACCATTATTATCACCACCATTATTATCACCACCATCATTATCACCACCATCATTATCACCACCACTACTACCATCATCACCACCACAACGATATAGAGATTCATATGTAAATAATAACTATATTAAACTTAATAGCAAAAAGAGTGATGATGAAATTAGTGAAGCACATAGTAATGTTACTGCTGGTAATAATAAGAGAAAATCTAAACTTAATCCTAACAGTAAAATATTTGTTTGTGGACAATCTGGTATGATAAATGTAGTTGAGCAATCATTAAAATATCTAGGTTATACTGAGGAAGATTTTATATTAATAGCATAAAAACTTTATTTAAAATTATACATATGGCTTATTTATTTATATTTGTATCTATAAATTTTATTACTCCTTCCCTAGACAAAAGTTTCAGTCACCACAATCCTGCAAAAACGTACATAATAAAAGCATAAATAATTTATATCAATTGTAGGTTTATATTAAAGAATTTGACCAAAATGGTTTTAAAAAACTTGCATAATAACCACTCCTGAAATTCTGGCACGTATAGCTTGAGTCCTGACACAACGCGTCATCATATATTTTTCCAATTTTTTTTGTAGTTTACTTAAAAAATTAAGATTTTTTCTCTAAAAAGGAATTTGAACGTGGCAAATAATTGAACTTTACAGAGACAATAATACTATTCATATATTTCTAAAACAAATGGCTTTGCAAAACTTCCAGGAGAGAGGTAGTGTTGAAGGGTTACCAAGAAGTGGACGTCGGATACTGATCATAAGAATGAATTGAAAAAAAGAGAACCGTAAATCTACCAGCAAATAAAAAGACCAATTTAATGAAATTACAAGTTTACAGGTTTCAACCAAAACTAACAGAAATTTACATGATTTAAACATTTATTCTCGTGTTCTGTATCTAAGCCTTTAATTAACGGACAACATAATTTTCAAAAAAGTTTTTTTTTATTTATTAATTATTATTTTCCTAGATTAAAGTTAATCAAAAAATAAAAATTAACATGCATTATTATGTATAGACATGCAGATTTGCTAATTGTCAACCTTTACATGAAAAGTTGTATTATTCTTTTTGCATCACAGAATTAGATTCTTTGACCAGTTAATTAAAAGAAAATTAACCTGTCGATTTAATCACGTGAAAAATTTACTGGCAAATTCAATCGCAACGCCTGTTGAATTTTATTATAATGCGCTCGTTCACTCATTATCTTCATTAAAATTCACTGATTACATTCATTGTTACAATGTTAATTAGGAGATATGAGTTAATGAAGGAATGTAATATTATCTATTATTATGTGCGAGATTTAATAATTACAAATGGAATGAAAACGAGAACACACAAAGCCTGTTTTCTGACGAAACTTTTCTTTTATCCAAGTTTCAGGTAACACATTGATGTACTCTACGAATTCTTTATTTTAAAATTTTGATACTACTTATGAATTTATTGATTAACGGAGAATAGAATGTAGCACCTTTGCACAAAAAGTTGACCTCCGCTACATAAATTTTTTTGTTATCAAATATGATTTTTTTTTGTTCGCATAGACAAAAGGAAGAATTTACTATTTGGCCGACATGGATTAAAGGTTCAAATAATAAGTGTACTCGAATTAAATAAAATAGTTTTATAAGCATACATATTTATTCAATTGTATTATAATAATTTTCATATAAAGAAAAAATTATACTTTAAATTTTATTTGGATAGTTAACATAACAAAAATATTAAAGATTTCGTTATTATTATTTCCTTTATAATAAAGAACTTGAAGATTCTTTTTTATATTTTTGATTAAATCTTGAAATCCATCTTCTTCAATTCATATAATTATCGATGTTATTTTGGAGAAACATTATCTTGAGTTTTTCTACAACATTTACGTTAAGACGAATTTTTGATGCAAATCCAGTTTGCGGGGTATGAAAAATTATTGTTACACGATATAATTTCAAGGTCATCGTCACTATGTGACAAACGTGATAAAGAGAAATTCCATCAACCTTTTGCTAGAGAACCCCAAATGTATTAGTGAGCAGTCTTTATGGTGATACTTTTTCAGTTTGAGTTTCCTTGTTTGGATTTAATTTTAATGCATTATTGACCCGAATTATAGTGCTGCAATCACCTTCAAGCACTTTAAAATCAGTGTTGATGAAAAGATATTTTTATGATCATTTTACGAGTGGAGCCTTGTTCATAAAAAAAATTAAAATTTTTTATAATTGTTGCGCATATAATTGATGCATAATAAACGCACAATTTACTTTTATTGATATTTATTACTGATAAAACCCTCGTCCTTTACTCTTATTATTATTGTTATCATAACAAATGAAAATGGCGGTTTAATATTAAGGGGTCCCGTACCATATGTCCAGGTTTAGTAAAAATTCATGTCGATTATGATATCATAACTACAGTGGTATCCATTTCCATCAATGATTATTGTCATAGCGGTAAAAAAATATGAAAAATACGAATATGGCACGATAAAATTCTAGTATATTAGTATATATTAGTATTAACGTAAAAAATATTTATCATTCTTGTGGTTTCCTGTTCCTTGTTACACGAAAAAACTAATTTTTATTGGCCGAAGGAACAGAAAAAGGATCCACTTCCAAATTTGGAAACAAAACAAGAAAATAGCTTCTACTAATAATGATGAACAACAACAACAAAAGTGTTCAAAAAGCAGTGCCAATTTCTACTAGTAGTGACGAACAACAACAACGACGAAGTGTTTATCCAGTTCAAAAAGTAGCTTCTATTAATAATGACAACAAACCATTTATCTGGTTCAAAGGACTTCTATTAATAATGACGAACAACAACAAAGCATTTGTCCGGAAACCTTTTCTACTAATTTCAAAATATCCCAATTCGTCTTCATCAAAGCTTTCGATAGATTTAGAAACAATGCCTCTTCAATTCTTTCACGAATTGGCATTTTAATAATTAATCAACAACGGTTTTATATGGCGTAACTTTTAAAAAAACGTGTAAATTTTACGATGTAAATCAGTACCAAAAATAGAGTTTATGGAAGGAACTTTTGAATTCCTTATTTATAACGTGGGGTGCTACAATATAGAAAACTCACAGAACATACTAACTCCAAATGAATGTGAGCTTCGTTAAAAACAGGTTTTACACGTCAGTATTATTAATAGAATGTTCTCTCGTGAATGCGAATTTTGGAGTTAAATATTTTTTTAATCCAATGATCTAATAAAACTTTATTTAAATCCAATTCTTTCAATCATTATTGTTTTAAAGAATTAAAATTATTTTTATTTCTCCAAAAAAAAAAAGTGAAAAAATAAAAATGCTTTATAATCATCAAAGAGGAGGAGAAAATTCGTCAATTCTTCTTCTGCTGATATTATTCATAATATTTTTATTGTTATCATGTAAAGTAGAATCTCGACTTACAGATGGTAGTGATAATAATATAAATAATCCAACTTCTGGTACCCCAAAACAAACTTTTCAAATGAAATATCCACCCGAACCTTTTTTTGGGTAATCATATCATTTTAGTACTGCTATTAAATCATTTATTAAATAAATAATTAATGATTTGATAATTTTTCTTTCATAAATAATATTAGTCCAGATGGAGATTCAATGATAAAAACTCCTTCTGATATTGTTGACACTGACCCAAAGCAACCAATACCCAAGTGTACTGATCCATTACCAGCCAATACTTATCCAATGCCAAGATGTATCTCTAATATTATAACTAATTATCAATTAGATCAATTTGATGTTGCAAAGGCAACGAGTTATCGATCTAAAAGACAAACTAGCCATATGGTAAAAAAAATTCTTTTAACAACTGTTTATTTGTATTTGTTTTCTCAAATTGATTTTTTGAATTAAATAATCTTT